TCAAAATATCAGATTTTACCCATAAGTATATACAATTACAATACGTCAGTTAAAATTTAAAAATAAATAAATAAAATTTAAAAAGGAAATAAAGTGAAGATTTAAATAATAAAAAATAAAATAAAATTTTATAACTCCTACTTTAAAGAAATGCCTTGACTAACAGATTTTATAAAAGAAATATGTGGCTCCCTAGATTGCTAAGTATTTAAGAATTGCTCAAATGTTGAACCATAAAGTTTCATCTCATGAAATGATCATAAGGGTTTCAATGCACTGTAAAAACTAGATCCTGCTATTGGTTCTGACTGCTCATTAACAAGGGTAGTTCAAAAAGACAAGACAAGGACGCCCACTCTCAATGCTCCTATTTAACATAATATTGGAAGTTCTAGCCAGAGCAATCAGTCAAGACAAAGAAATAAAGAGCATCCAGAATGGAAAAGACAAAGTTAAACTGTCCCTGTTTAGAGATGATCTGATCTTATATACAGAAAAACCTATAGACTGTACCATAAAACACTTAGAGCTGATAACTGAATTCAGTAAAGTTGCAGGATACAAAATCAACACACAAAAATCAGTAGCATTTTTATACTCCAACAATGAACCAGCAGAAAAAGGAATCTAGAAAGGTAACCCATTTAAAATAGTCACCAAAAAAATAAAAATATAAAATAAATAAAATACCTAGGAATCAATTTAACCAAGGAAATGAAAGATCTCTACAATGAGAACACAAATCACTGCTGAAAGAAATTAAAGAGGACACAATAAAATAGAAAGACATTCCATGCTCTTGGACTGGAAGAATTAACATTGTGAAAATGTCCATGCTATCCAAAGCAATCTACAGATTCAATGCAATCTCCATTAAAATACCAATGATATTCTTCACAGAAATAGAAAAAAAAATCCTAATGTTCATATAGAAACACAAAAGATCTCAAATAGCCAAAGCAATCCTGAGCAAAGAAATAAAATAAAGCTGGAGGCATTAGACTACCTCACCTCAAATCATACTACAGGATAGTAAGCTATAGTAACCAAAACAGCATGGTACTGGTATAAAAACAGACTACTCGGACCAATGGAATAGAATAGAGAAATCAACCCACAAATTTGCAGCTAACTGATCTTCGACAAAGGCACCACGAACATACATTGGGGAAAAGACTGCCTCTTCAATATATGGTGCTGGGAAAACTGGATATCCTATGTAGAAGAATGAAACTAGACCCGTACCTCTCTCCATGTACCAAAATCAACTCAAAATTGATTAAAGACTTAAATATAAGACCCAAAAACTACAAAACTCCTAAAAGAAAACATAGGGAAGCACTTCAGGAAGTAGGACTGGGCAAAGACTTTATGGATATGACTCTAAATGCATAGGCAACAAAAGAAAAAATAAACAAACAGGACTATATCAAACTAAAAAGCTTCTGCACAGCAAAAGAAACAATTAACAGAATTAAAAGACAACCAACAGAGTGGGAGAAAATATTTGCAAAATATACATTTAACAAAGGATTAATATCCAGAATATACAAGGAACTCAAACAACTTTACAGCAAAAAAACAAGTGACCCAATTAAAAAATGTGCAATGGAGCTGAATAGGCATTTCTCAAAGGAAGATATACAAATGGCCATCAGACAAATGAAAAAATGCTTAACATCACTCAGCATCAGAGAAATGCAAATCAAAACCACATTCAGATATCATCTCATCCCAGTTAGACTAGCTATTATCAAAAAGACAGAAAAACAAATACTGGTGAAGATGCAAAGAAAGGGGAACTCTCCTACAGTTTTGGTGGGACTATAAATTGGTGCAGCCATTATGGAAAACGGTATGGAATTTCCTCAAACAACTACAGATAGAACTGCCATACAATCCAGCAATCCCACTGCTGGGTATGTACCCAAAGGAATGGAAATCATCATCTTGAAGGGATACCTACACCCCCATGTTTATTGCAGCTCTACTTACAATAGCCAAAATATGGAACCAACCTAAATGTCCATTGTCTGATGACATAAGGAAAATGTGATATATGTTATATACACAATGGAATACTACTCCACCTTAAAAAAGAATGAAGTACTGCCATTCATAACAACATGGATGAACTTGGAGAAAATCATGTTAAGTGAAATAAGCCAGGTACAGAAAGAGAAATACCGCATGTCCTCACTCATAAGTGGGAGCTAAAAAAGAAAGATAGATAGAAAGAAAGAAGCAATAATCATAATAACACAATGAACTTTCAAGAAGAGAAAACAGAACTGAGGTTACCAGATGAGCAAAAGAGGGAATGGGAGGGGGGTAAGGGAGGACTTGGTAAAGGACCGTGAAAAATGATTACATTGCATAACATTGAATGTACTAATTATGCTGATTTGAGCATTACACACAGGTATTGATATTCAACTCTGTACCCCACAGATGTGTACAATTAAACATAAATTTTTTAAAAGTTCAGAGAAAACAGAATTAAAAAATAATATGAGTCTCTCCACGAAATTTTTAAAGTACCCTCGTATGTCTCTAAGGCTTAAAGACTATGGCCCTCTCATCATGTTACACAACTCATCCTTTCATAACAAATGTACTTAATGTGCGTCCACATGTTAAGATTAAAACATTCAAAAAAATTGTAACATGCTGTGTATGGTCCTCAGACCAAAAGAAGTAGTCTTACAGATGCACTTGTGCTTAAAAGTCCAATGAACCACCGCAGACAAAATTTAAAAGCTTGTGAAAACAGGAGCGTAGCCAAGTAATGTCAGACTTATGGTGTGATATCGTACCAGTCACTTAACTGCTCTAGGTCTTAGTTGCTTCAACAATAAAATGTGGGTGACACCACTACCCATTCCCAAAACTCTGAGACTAGTGTATCACTCACAGCCCTCAAATGTTACCTGTTGTTATTATTTATTGTTACTATTAAAGCATGCATCAGGAATTCATCACTATCCACGGACAAGAAATTTTCCTTTAAAAAAAATAATTACATAAAATGCAATATTGACCTGTTACTACTGGCTTTTTCTTCTTCAAATCAGTTGAATAAGTAGTAAAAATACATCTTAGCAAATTATTAAATGAATAAGATTCACTATACTAAAAAATGACTCAAGCTTTACATTGTGTGGGAACTTCTTATGATGCAGGTCTTTGTGGGAAAAACACTACTTCTGTAGGATTAAAAAAAGAAAAAAAAACACAAAAAAACCTGCTAAAGATAATTAGCCTTCCTTGGTCACTGTTTACATTTACTATTAAATTACCTATGATCCTTAAAAAATGATAACACCCCATCAATTAAAGTCTGATTATTCTCTAGAGTTAAGGAACATTCAAGGTATTCAATGACTTAGGAACTGGGGGAGCGAGGGGGGAAGCAATTTAACCTTCAGAAGGAATTAAGTTTATTGCCTTCATTTAACTGTGGGAGGTGACTTTTGCCCAAGAAGCACTGCTAACATATGAATACCAGGCCGAGTCTATATGGAAATTGGACTTGAATCTTTTTTGGAAGTAGTTAAATATAAATTATAATTAAATTTGGATTGTAACAGTTTGCACCAAGCCTAGAAAAAAAACTTCTTAAGCTATAAATGAAAAAAAAATGTTATTTAATAATTATTTTTCTCTCCTCTGAAATTCACTTTTAATATACTTAAACAATAAAGGAATGAGATTAAAGGATAGCTTCTGTATATCCATTTGTTCACGTTAGTCTGTTATGTGGCATTATCAGTACCTAGTGAATTGATTCCTTTATTCAAGAAATTTA